GTGACCCCGTGCTGCTGCAGCCTAGCAGCTTGCTGGTTAGGGGGAGTTATAAGAGTGATGCCGAGGAGACAAATACATTTTTAAATAAATAAATAAATTATTTTTTATTTTTTTATTTTTTTATTTAATTTTACCACAGACGAAACACGAAACACAGCAGCAGCAGCAGCAGCAGCAGCAGGTGAGGGAGGGGGCTGGCTGTCGCTTTCTTGCTTTCACTTGCTGCTGCAGCAAATAATATAACTATTTATATTATTTTATTAATTATTTTTTATTTATTATTTTTAATTATTTATTTTTTGTCTTTTTATATTTAATTTAAATAATATAAATCCACAACAACTTCTGCAGCCTTCCTGACGCTGCCTACCCCAAGCCCATCTCAGAGCAGCCCGAGTGAAACAAACAGCAGCAGCAGCAGCAGCAGCAGCAACAGCAGCAGCAGCAGCAACCACAGCAGCAGCAACCACAGCAGCAGCAGCAGCAGCAGCTAACACTGAAGATGTCTGCGGCAGTGCAGCGGCGTCCTACGCGTAGCGTATCTTCCGAAGATGACGCATCACCAGCTGCTGCAGCAGCAGCAGCAGCAACTCCCGCAACAGCAGCAGCAACTCCCGCAACAGCAGCAGCAACTCCCGCAGCAGCAGCAGCAGCAGCAGCAGCAGCAGCAGCAGCAGCAGCAGCAGCAGCAGAGCCTCTGGAGCTGCGGCAGCGCGTAGGTTTAACTGAAATGAGTTTCTATTACTGCCCCGGCACAGAAACCCCCAAAGGCGTCGCCCTGGGGCCCACAGCCTGGGTGGGGTGTATTCTGCTGCTGCTGCTGCTGCTGGCTCTACTCAGGATATTCTCAGGCAAAGCAGCAGACACATAGCTCCTGCTGCTGCTGCTGCAGCTCCTGCTGCTGCTGCTGCTGCTGCTGCTGCTGTTGGTGGTGGTGAGGGTGGTACTGCCTCATCGGCAGAGGACACAGCAACACCGAGAACGGCAGGAGTAGCTGAGTGGTGAGCGTTGCTGCTGCTGCTGCTGCTGCTGCTGTTGCTGCTGCTGCTGCTGCTGTGCTCTCAGCTGCAAGTGCAGCAGCAACAACGGTAACTGCAGCAGCAGCAGAGACAGCAGCATTTCTTCGACTCCAGCAGCAGCAGCAGCAGCAGTAGCTACAGCAGTCGCAGCAGCAGCCCGAGCCGCTGCAGTAGTTACTGCAGCAGCAGCAGCAGCTGCTGCTGCTGCTGCTGCTGCTGCTTGCTGTCAGACAGATACTTTTTGTTTTTTTTTTTTAAGTTGCATGCATCAACAAAAAACATTTATCCTGTAACTCCAGTTGCTGCTGCTGCTG